TGAAACCCTTATACACTGTAGGTAGAAATGAAAAATGATGTAGCTGTTCTGGAAAATAATTTGGATTTCCCCAAAGAAGTTAAAAATAGAGCTACCAGTAACCCCTTTCCGGAATTTATCTAAAAGAATTGAAATCAGGATCTTGAAAAGATACTATATTAGCATTCCTATGTTCATCACTGCACCACTCACAATAGGCAAGATGTGGAACAAACCTAAATGTCCCTCAACAGAAGAATGGTTAAAGAAAATGTGGCATCTACATACCATAGAATATATTCCGTCTTTAAAAAAGAAATTCTGAAATTTGTAATGACATAGGTGAACCTGGAGGATAAAATGCTAGATGAAATAAACTAGTCACAGGAAGACAAATACCACATGATTCCTCACTTTTAATGTATCTAAAGTTGTTAGATTCATGGATTAAACAAGTGGAATGATAGTTACCAGGGGCTAGGGAGAGAGAAAAAGAGGACGTTACTAATCAATAGATAAAAAAAATTTCAGTCAATCAAGCTAAGCTAATCTTAAATCTTTATACAATACTGTACCTATGTAAAAAGTAATAGATGATATACTTAAAATTGGTTAAGAGGTATGTTAGGTATTCTTTCCACACTTACATAATATATATATATAATTAATTCAATTTTAGAAGAAGGGAATATTGTCAAAAATAACCAAACCTCAACTCCTACTATATAAAGAAATGTACAAAAATTTAAAAAAATAACACAAGTGAAGATACAACTTGTAACTAGACACACATCCTTCTCCTACTGTTCCAACCACACTCTTGTGCTGAATTTTCCCCACCATTTGTGTCTAGGGTGACATTCTTGGATTCTTTTGCTTTTAGCTTTTATTTTCTAGTTCTTAGTGTTATACATGCCTCTCAACAATTTGGTGCACCCTTGATTATTAATTCTGGTAAAGATACAGAGCTTGCTTGTATCAAACGGCACATCAGATTTTCCTTCCCCTCTTGTCCCTTCTCCTCCCCTCTTCCTCTCTCTTTGTCTCATCTATCTTCCTTCTCTCCTAGATTTACTTTCTTTCTTTTCCTTTTTAACAGAAGAAAGCTTCTTAATGGGAATGGGTACTTGTTTTTGTTAGCGTAGAAGGAAGTTGCAAAGATTTTGTCAAGGTTTAAGATACTGTATCTTGATTATGCTGTAAGGGAGACTTTCACAATGGCCAGGGAAAGGGCTGCCTTCCTTAGAGGTTTGCCCCTGTGGAATCTGAGAGGCTGGTGTTAACCCTGACAAGAGGAGCTTGTTCTGCCCCTCCATCCTTCTAGCACAGATTCTAGGCACCTGTGAGAAGTAGATGTGGAAGGAGAAGGAAGGGCAAGATATCAAGATGAATAGAGGAGAAACAGCAAAAGCAGAACAAACACTGGTGAGGTCCCCCTGGGCGCTATTTCAAGCTAGAGTGTGTGCAGGATGTGACTGGGTTGGTAGGACATGGAGTGCTCCATTATCTGTACTCTGGTTATGTTTAGGACTGGCTAATACAGGTTGAGGATCCCTAATCTGAAATTCAAAATGCTACAAAATTTGAAATAGTTGGAGTGCAGACACGATGCCACAAGCGAATTATTCTACATCTGACCTACGTAAGGGAGCAGAGTCAAAACCAAAGTACACTAAAAATGTTATATAAATTGCCTCAGGCCCTATATGTAAGGTGTACAAGAAATAGAATTTTATATTTATATTTGGGTCCCATTCTCAAGATACTTCATTATGTATATACAGATATTCCAAAATCCAAAAAATGCCTAGGATAAGGAAAACACAAGCTGTAGTCAAATTGCTTATTTTCTGTGTCCACCAGCCTTTCTAGATATTGCATAGATTGTGGTGGTGGACATCAATGAGAAGAATTTCCCATGTGAAGAAGAATGGTGGAAATTGGATATGTGAACTCTGGAGAAAAAATACAAAGACTCTTTCCCTTATGTGCTCATAAAGAGGCTGTAAATCAATATGGAAAACGAAACCCACGCATGATGAAAATGATGGAAACTATCTCTAGCTCCCAAGTCAATAGATTGATTTCCTGATCCATCCCCCACCCACCGTGTATCTTAGGAGACACAGAGAGATACCAGCTCCCATCTGCTTTCATTATTTTATGATGCAGTACACAAGGATATTTGAAATTTCTAAGAATTAAAAGTATAAAATATGGTCCAGCCAGAAATTTTTAAAACCCAGGCAGTGAGCTCCTTGCCCACAACTCTCCTGTCTGCCCCAGGAATGGTGTCCATTTGCACCACACTGTTTGTGGCTGCTGGATTTTAAGTGGTACTGCCTACACAAAGCAAATGACACAGACCCATGCCCTCTGAGAGCTGAGGTGGTATTCATTGATAGAGTAGTTTTCAGCTCAGCCACTGCTGTTGGAAAACTACACCCTTGGGGTTTCCCCTTTCATCTACTTGGCCAGGATTCTGGGAATAAGCCAGCTTAAGTATACCCATCCCTGGGTGCATATTAGAATCACCAGTTGAGCTTTGGAAACAAATCTGCACTAGGGTTACCTTCTCCCCACCCCAGGTCAAATAAGTCACAATCTGGGCATAGAGTCCAGGCATCAATGCTTTTGAAAAGCCTCCTGGGGATTCTGAAGGACAGACAAGGTTGAAACCTTCTGGGCTTTCTGGAAAATACGGGACTTTCTTTTTGCCTGTCTGTCTCTCTCTGTCCCTTCTTTTTTCTCCATCTTTCTTTCCTTGCCCCTCTTTTTGCTCTTCTGCCTCTCCTCATTCCCTTCCTCATTCCTTCCAATAGTAGGCTCTAGTAACAATGACTACGTCCCTGGCTACATTCTCATTCTCTCCCCAAATACCAAAAAGATTGCTTAATCCCATGGTGCTCTGTTTTCAAGCACCTTTTCTGAGAGGCTTTGTCTTTGATGTGTGTATTTACAAAACGTTAGGCAGCACTGTTTGTCTTTAAATGTGGGCCCACCTGCCCCTGGCCCTTGGTAGAAGCGGAGGACTGGGAAATGAGTGAAGAAGCTGAAGAAACTTAAAAGATTTTCCACTTATCCATTATTTTTATGGCTGCTTGTGCTCGATATAGGACCATGAGGGCCATAGATCCTCCATTCATTCATTAGATAAATACGATGAATTCATTCTTAGATAAATAAAGGCAGATCTTTTTAATATTCCAAGACCCACACTTTGTGCTAAATTTATATGGATGAATAAAAAAAGACTTCTGCTTTTAAGGGAGTGACACTTAAATATTTAACTATAACACAAGGTTTTAAATTTTTAAATGGAAGTATTTGCACAGACTCTTCACAATTAAGTAGGAATTAACAGGGGAAAGGGAGAAGCGGGGCATTCTAGGTAGAGGAGTAAACAGCCAAAGGCTCACAGATGAGAAATGGTGTATGCCTTGCAAAACTTTGTCATTTGTTCAGTGGGTTCAAAGTCACTGGCATGCTGAGGTCTGGCTGTGGACCTAGTGATATCAGGGCTTCCCTTCCTCCCTGCCACCCAGTGAGGGCACGTGAGGCTTCAACTTCTGATTTAGAGTCTTTCTTCTATTGGCTGATTCTTTCATCAAAATCTGACCACTATTTAAATATAATATTATATATATATAAAATATATATATATCCTGTTTTATTTTTTTCTCTCTCCTGCAGGTTAGTGGACATGGGTTTGGGGGAGGATGGACTGATGAATTGGATTCCCAGACTCAGAGTGAGAACTCAGTTTGGCTCACAGACTACATAATGCTGACACACACACCTTTATTGAGCAGCTTAAAAGGGACAAAGGCTTGAAATCTCTTGTGAAAAGGTTCCCAAGCCTTTCTGGAGTTAGGCCTGGAATTTGAACTTTTAACAAGTTCCCCTAAGAAACACCATGGTATGGTCAGGTTGGAATTCACTGGCCTGGTCCTCGGTACTGATTTGAGATGATGAGGGGCATCCCAGAGCACTAGCAAACACTTATATAGTAATAACAAAATGGCAAGCATTGTTCAAAGTGCCTGCCTTTCACAGTTTAACACTTACAAGACTCCTATCAGTAAGCTTATAACTACCTCTGTTGTTAGAGATGAGAATACTGGGTAACAGAGTTCAAGTGACTTGTTGCATAGCCTTGAGCAGTTTTGTAGTTAAAGCCACTCCTAAAGCCTAAACCACCTCTAATTGTTGAAGACCATTAGCTAAATTGACACTGAATACATTTGCGGGCATGATCTGAATTGCAGCAGGTACATAAAGGTAAGATAGAGCTAGTGTTGTGCTGGGAAACACTTTACATCTGGCTCTCTGGGTCAGAGGTAAGGGGGTTTTATGAAGACATGATTTGAAGTGTTTGCCACTTTCTGTGACACAGATATCACTGATCAAGGGATTAGGAAGAAATATGCCCAATGGGCTCTGCTGAGTTGATACCAGCTGGATACGGTTCACCACCAGATACAGACTTGGCTTACTGTGACTTACTGCCTGGTGCTGGCCATCACAGCACATGCCATCATGAAGATGTAGGCCAGAAGCTATGGAAGAATGTGAAGAGGACAATCTAGTTCCTAAAACAGCTGTATTGTCAAAGGGCTTTGGAGATCTGCAGTCATGCTCTGGGTTGAAATAGTGAAAGGCCAAGGAAATTGCAATTCAGCACTTGGACAGTGTGCCCCACAGTAGGAGGATACCTGTTGGGGTTGAGTCCTAGGATAGGAACTCAAAGGCCTCTGCCCCTAAATACCCTTCTCAGTAATTGCTCACAAGTACTTCCTTCAACGCAACTACTCCCTCTACCCTCTTGCCAAGTCAACTGCAGGCCTGCAGATTTTCTAAAGAGAATTTCTTGCCACTTCCTGTAGACCATTTGCCCTTTGCGTGTTGCAGCACTTGCTCCAGGACCCATGAGGAAGCCATCTGCTACATCACAGCTACGAAGGGCTAGGGACTCAGGTGAGGGATAGGCACATGGTGATTCTTTGTGCTGCCCATTTTAGGTACCAGACGTGCTTCTTTGGGATCGACTTGTCCAGTCTCCAGCGTGCAGCACTGGATGAATACTTCAGACAGCCAGCAGTAGTAAGTGGGCTATCTTTACAGGCTTTCTGTTGTCTGTGTATATATTGATTCATTTGCTCTTCCATCTGTCAAGTACCACACTGCAAGGCTCTGTGTAGAGCCATCGCAGGAGAGGAGGAGTTCCTTGGAATACCATGCCTCAAGTCTTCCAGCTCTGCTCTGTCAGTCAGTTGAGATAATTGTCCTGGTGGTACCATTAAAAACAAGGAGATCTTCTAACTACCTTTTACTGGGTAATTTACTCTGACCCTCTCTGTATACCCTCATCCCTCACACTGGTTCAACAATTCACATTATTCCATTGACCTTAGTGGCTCAAAACATAATAGAAGAAACATTTTTATAAGAGTTTAGAGCAAGAGCTTCTATGCTAATAAGATTTGGTTTTAATTGTGACCTCATCTAGTTATGTAATCTTGAGCATTTTGCTTGTGTCACCAGAAACTCTCAGCATTAAATAAAAGGAACCCCAAACCAAATTGGCTATAGCTAAAATGAAATCACTGTCCCTCAAAAACTGCAAGACCTAAATATGCAGCATGCTGCAGAGATCTGTTGCAGATGGTCAGACTCTGTCACCAGGACCTGATTTTTCTGTCCTCATTACTTACTTATTCTCACTCTGATTTAACTGTGTTTCTAGACAGACTTATCTACCCCCTTGTGGTACCAAGATGGCTACAGAGGCTCCAGCTTTCAACAATGTCTTATATATAAGAGCCTGCTTTTTCCTAAAAACTTAGGAAGAAGCCCAAGATTTAGTGTAGATGGAGCCTAATTTTTCTACCTTGGATCATATATCCATCTATGAACCTACCACTGTCTTCAGGGGAAAAGTAATATTTTGATTGGCCAAACTCAAGTCACATGCTATGCCTGTTACAGAATGTGGACTGGTTTCCACACTAGCACTTCTTGGGCAGAAATGAAGAACAAATTCTTCAGAGTTGAAAAACCTGTTCTAGAGATGTTGCAACAAGTAAATGATATAACCTAGTAAAACACTTAGTACTTAGTAAAGCACAACACACTTAGGTCTTATATATAATAGATCCTCAATAAATGTTAGTACTAATTATTATATTGTTCTCATTAAGCTCATGCTTTTTAAAGCCTAATTTCTGTTGACATAAAAATTGCAAGAGGAAACCTAAACTGAAAACTTGCTTGAGTTCGGTTTATCTTGACAGAATGATAATACCTTTGATATTTTCCCCCTCAAGGACACGTTCGACATTAGCATTTTGATGGCTCAGCCAGTAAAATATACAGTAAACTTTATGGATGCAGAAGAAAAAGATCTACACAGGTTTGTACAAATCAGTGTTCTTGATTTTTTTAAATGCCCTCTCCAAATCTCCCATCCCCAAACTTCAGGGCAAATAATTGCTGCTCACAGAGGAAGACACTTATAGATATGCAATGCATACAGGAAGGGAGCATTCTTGTTTCATTTATTCCAGTTTCATTTATTACAGAATGAGGATAATGATGACTCTTTCACAGGGCCACTTTAAGAATCGAATGACCGAAATGATAATAGCATAGTTAATACTTTTACAACCAGACACTGTTCTGAGCCCTTTATATATAATAACATTTAGTTGTCACAATGAATCTATGTAAATGGTACTATTGTTATTCCCATTTTACAGGTGACAAGTAGAATAGAGGTGAATAATAAATTTCAGAAAGTCACAGAATTAGTAAGTGTATTAGAGCTAGGACTTGACTATTTTAGAAGACTAGTGTGTGAGCTTTGAGCCACTGTACATTAATGCCCTCAAATAAGAACATAACTATGAATGGATCCAGGTCTGTGTATGTAGGTAATAATAACAAGAAGAGCTACAGCTTCTTGAGTACCTACAACATATTTGGGTCCTATGCTATGCTTTATGGTCAGTGGATCATTTTCAAAAAGGGCACTCAGTAAATGTTAATCCTTTTGCCTTTTGCCTGACAAGACTTTGAAATGAAGGCTTTTGCCTTGACTTGGTCCACTTTCTTAGATGGTACTATGAATCCCCTTTGAGTAACCTTTCATTACTCCTTTTCCCTTGCTTCCTGATAAATTCAATATTTGTAATTTTTCCTGGATAAGACAGTTATAACCCAGCCAGATTGTAATTTACCCAAAGCTGCTGAGAAAGCAATGGTCATACTTTAGTGGGTACTGATGGCTAACAACAACAAACTATGTAATACACACACACAAATATGTACACACACACATATACAGTATATATACACATGTATGCATATATATTTTGGGGGGGAGAGAAATCATGGTGTACAAAGATATTCATATCAGTTAGGATAAGTTCTGAAAACATTAGCCAAAGCAATTAGATAAGACAAAGAAATAAAAGGAATAAAGATAAGAAAGGAAGAAGTTAAACTATCATTATCTGCAGATGACATGATACTTTACATAGAACACCCGAAAAACTCCATCAAAAGACTTTTAGATTTAATAACCAAATTTAGTCACATAGCTGAATACAAAGTCAACACTAAAAGCATTCCTATACACAAAAATCAAACTTACTGAGAGAGAAATTAGGAAAACCAGCTTTTTAAGTTAACATAAAAAAATGAAATACTTAGAAATCAATCTAACAAAGGAAGTCAAAGATCTTTACATTGAAAACTACAGTACTCTGAAAAAGGGGATTGAAAAGGATATTAAAAAATGGGAAAATATCCCTTGCTCATGGGTAGGAAAAGCCAAAATGGTAAAAATGGCCATACTCCCAAAATTGTTATACAGATTTAATGCAATCCCAATCAAAATGCCAATAGCATACTTCACAGAACTAGAGAAAACACTCCTAAAATTCATTTGGAACCAGAAGAAACCCAGAATAGCAAAAACAATTCTGCTGCTTGTACAGGTACAAAAGTAATTTTTGAAAATCTAACGAGCTCATATTTCATTTAGGGGGATATGAAAGAAGAAAGAGAAACTGGATAAAAAGAGGTGGTTCTTTAATAAAATGGAGTACTACTCAGCCATAAAGAATGACAAACTAGAGACATTTATAGCTAAATGGATGCATATTGAAGCCATACTCTTAAGTGAAATAAATAGGACACACATATGTAAATACCAAATAGTTTCTCTAGTGTGAGAAACTGGAAGTGTAAATAAGGATTAAAACAAATAATTGATAATTTGAAATAGGAAGAAAAGGTCCAAAGGGGTAGGGGAGGTGGGAGGGGAAAGGGAAAGGAAAAATTATGAGAAAAGAAAAAAATGGAAACAAAGTCTATGTAAATAGGGAAGGGTGGAGGGGGTGAAGGGCACACAGGTAATGGGGAAAAAATAAGAACCAAGATACATCATGTACAGGTACAAGCACCCAATGATGAATGTAAACGTATTGTATACCTAAAATGTACCAATAAAAGAATTTTTTTTAAAATAGGGAAGGTTGGAGGGGGTTAAGGGCCCACAGGTGATGGGGAAAAAATAAGAACCAAGATACATCATGTACAGGTACAAGCACCCAATGATAAATGTAAATGTATTTTATACTTAAAATGTATCAATAAAAGAATTTAAGCAAAGAAAAAAAAGAAAGAGGGGGAAGATGAAGAGGGGGAGAGAGGGACAAGGAGAAGGAGAAGAAAGAAATGATTACAGTGTAGCATCAATAAATTCAACAAGACAGTTACAATGGAAAACTGTAGAAATAGTCTGACTGCTGCAGGGTGAAAGAAGTTGAGCCTTTAGGGGAACAATGAATACAAATAATATACAGCCTTCTTTGGAAACTTCTGGAACACTCACTAAAATGAAGCACCTTGAAGCCCCAGTAATGGACCAATAACATTACCTTGTAATTGTAAAATGATTCAAATTTGCAAACCACCCTTGTACACATTTTTCCCATTGAACAAGAAAAACTTTATGAGGAGGAAGATTTTATCACACTTGAACAAGTGAGGATCCTAAGATTCAGAGAATTTAAGTGAAATTCCAAGATTTCACAGCTAACGTGGGTCCAGTCTCTAGGTTTTGTTGTATCTTTCCCCACTTCTTTATATTCCTGCTTACTCTACATTTAGCGTAGACTATGGGCACTTGTTCATGACCCTTAGTGTAGCCTGGTGGGAAGTTAAATTGCCTCCCTGAAAAATAAATGAACTGACCAGGACCTTCTGAACTCAGTGCTCCTCTCGCAGCCTACTCTATTTTTAGAGGCCTGAGCAGCTTTTCCCTTCTGAACTTCTGTGTATGGGAACTGCCACAGCCTATGTTTTGGCTTCTGGATGGATGGTTATCACCTGTGTCCTGAGTCATCCTCTTCTTCAGTAGTCAAACCCAGCACAGGAGGCTACATGCATCCTGTGCAGTATAGGTCCCTGCAGTAGGGTGGTGTGCTCCCTGGAAGGCTTTGTCAAGAAACAAAATGTGGAGAATCACCAAAGCATAATCACAGACCAAGAGGGCCAAGGCAAAGTGCTTAAGAGAGAAAGAAATGTGTCAACGCTCCAATGGATCTTACAAATCTATTCAGTGTATCTGTCAACACAAAAAAATAATGTCAAGTGTTTTCTTTTTTCTTTCTGTCTGTTTTTTTATATTTCTTTGCAGAGTAGAAATCCCCTTTATGTTCCAGATGGCACATTCTGGCCTCATCCATGGGCTGGCGTTCTGGTTCGACGTGGCCTTTGTTGGATCTCTGTACGTATCCATTCCCTTCCCTGCCTAACCTACTCCATGTTGCTATTGGTAACCACAATTGTAAGTTTGCAAGAATTAATTTAAATAATGCTAATACATGTTTCTTCGGTTTTCCAAGAAATAAATACTGCTATGAATGTTACTTTTATATGTTTGGGAAAATGAAATCGAGACCATTTCCATAGTGTCATATCAAATGTGATTCAAACACTTAAAACCTCCTAAGCCAGTTAGATTCAGCTTTGGAGGACTGAGAGAGGGTCTCTGTTTTCTTTCCCAGAATAGATGGGGTGGACCCCACACCTGGTCATACAAACTCTCAGGTCTGAGTAATAGCTTGAATTATTCTGTTCCCCACTTTGGCTTAAAATCAGGAAAGCATGTTTTACTCATGCCAAGTAACTTCTCTATCTGTGCTATCCTTTATGCCCTACCACTCTGGTTTGAAAGTTACAGAGAAAAGAGGAGAAAAGCACATACAAGTTGGCTGTCAGTGTTTGGTGTTTCTTGTATAGGCTTGCTTTACTCCCATGACCCTTAAATTTCTTCTGATTTCCCAACTCTGTTTTACTTGGGCTTTCTCATACTTTACAAATTGTGGAGACTTGAACTGGGTCATGTGCCAGGCAAAGAAACTTAGTATACTGCCCTCTACTTCTTGAGAGAAAGTACAGCTTTATCACTGTATCTTCTTAGAACAATGTGTGATAAAGCTGGGGAGGGGAAGGTTTTTAGGGGGACCCAGGGAAGCCTTATCCCATCTGAAAAGCAGAAACACTAGCACAGAGATTGTTTCTATACCATAGGTGCATGTTTGTTCAAGGGATGGATAGAATTGTTTCTCAGTCATATCCCACAACAATGGATTTGCTCCTACAAAGATCAGGGAGATAAGCTTGAAGTGGCCTTCTTTCGGGGGGAGGGATTTCTTTGAAGTTAAATATTTTACAGAAAATTTGCATTTCTTTTTTATAAGAATTTATATTTAGCAATTAAATTATATAAAAATTTCCCTCCAAGTCTTCAGAACTGGCCCTCTAGGAATTTGGTGCATGTTTAATGTGTCCCTGGCTTGCTACAAGCCAGCATCCACTGTCTGACCCCAGAACAGGTGATCTCAGTGGTAGGAGCATAGCAAGATGTTGTCCCTTCTTCCTATGAAATGAAGAACCTCAGTTTAAACACACACACACACACACACACACACACACACACACACACACACACACA